GCCGAGCCCGGCAGGAGCCGCCGGGACGGGATGGAGGTGGAGCCGAGCCCGGCAGGAGCCGCCGTGACGGGATGGAGGTGGAGCCGAGCCTTGCAGGAGCCGCCGGGACGGGATGGGGATGGAGGTGGGGCCGAGTCCTGCAGTAGCCGCCGGGACGGGATGGAGGTGGAGCCGAGCCTTAAAGGAGCCGCCGGGACAGGGTGGAGGTGGAGCTGAGCCTGGTGGGAGCCGCCGGGACGGGACGGAGGTGGAGCTGAGCCTGGTGGGAGCCGCCGGGACGGGATGGAGGTGGAGCCGAGCCCCCAGGAGCCGCCGGGACGGGATGGAGGTGGAGCCGAGCCCCCAGGAGCCGCCGGGACGGGATGAAGGTGGAGCCGAGCTCGGTTGGAGCCGCCGCCGCCGCCGCCTGATGACGCGCGGCCGCTCCGTGACGCGGGGCCTTCCCCAGCCGCGCCCACCGTCCCGAAACCGGCAGGATTCTCCCCGAAACCGGCAGGATTCTCCCCRAAASCAGCATCCCACACTCGCAGCGGGCGGGCGGCAGGAACATGGCAGCAGGCACACACCCAGCCCGGGGCGCTGCCCGCTGCGGCCGCCCGCACACAGACCGGCCGTGGTGACGCCTCCCCGCCCCGGTGGCGGCGATGGAAGCTGCCGGCCGGRATAGCGCCGAGGGAGGGAGAGGCGGACCGGGTGATTTCGTGTCCGTGCTTCCTCTGGAGGTCAGCTCCAGGATTTTTAGCGGGCTGGATGTGGAGAGCTTGTGCCACGCGTCCGTGACTTGTAAAGGCTGGCACGGCGTCATCGAGAGCAACGAGCGGCTGTGGCGGCACCACTGCCTGGCCGTGCGCGCCGTGTGCCAGCGGGAGATCGACTGCGACCGAGGGAACGGCTATTCCTGGAAGGTAAATGCACCTTCAGCGGCAGAATTCAGGCAGCGACATGAACAAGGCTGCTAGGAGGGGCGGTCACTAGAAATGTGTAAGGAAATGGCATCAGCGTGCCGCGCCCATGCTGGGGGTGTGGGGAACAGCTGCGGTGACAGCGCACAGGCAGCTGGATATTTGGKAAAATACACTGAGAATAAAGCAAGKCTGTCCCTTTTCCTATTCGGGACACAACCTGCATGACATTCAGCCTTTCTGCTGCCCTGCTGGCGTTCATCAGAGACATCAGAGACGGGACAAAGTCCACGTTCCCGCAGACACGRCTGGCAGGGAGAAGATAACATAACTGATAGGCAGTGTGCGCTCTCTGCTTGTTTTTAGTGGAAACAGATCTGCTGGTTAGGAATGACATCCTGGAAAATCATCCTGGATAGTGCTGTCTTTATATACCTCAAGTAATACGCATTCAGGAGGAAAAAAAAAAAAAACCCAAAAAAAGAAATAAAAAAAGAAATGAGCAGGAGCTTTTATAAGCGGTTTAGAAAATCTTCCCACACATGGACTTTGCAGCAGGTTCAGCTCCAGAACGTGCTGGATCATCTCTCACTGTTGAATCCAGCCTGGAAGCTGAGGTTGATCAGGAAAGGATCTGATAGCTGGTTCCACAGATGACTCTGGGCCAGGTAGAAAGGTAATCCCCCACATTTTAGCTGGTGTGTTTGAGAGCAGGGGAGCAGTGGAACAGAAAAGAGAGAAACAGCAGCAAAAGAAACAAAAGCAGCCACTCCTCTGAGCTCTGACATTTCAGTAAAGTTAYTGCAGTGTGAGGCACAGCCATAAGTGGGTAGTGGTTGCCCTTTCAGTGTGTGGATCTCACTTCACAGCAATTTCCAGAGCTCTCTGTCTGTTTTATCTGGAGGGGATTTGAAATAGAAGCAACAAACACACCAAGTCTGCATTTTCTTGTCCTAAAACGTTGACAGAAGAGAAGAATCCACCCAGCCTCCAAGCAAGAATTAAAGATCAAATAACCAAAACAGAAAGAAAAAGTGAAAGGTGCCTCTTGTAAGAAGTAATATGAATTCCTGGTTTGGGTTTTTCATCTTGACCATCAAAGAACTGAGGCAGGAACAGAAAAGSTGGAAGTGGAGCAAAGTCTGCTTCTCAGCAGCATTTTGCCTTTTTGGCCCTAATGTCTCAATATCCAGAGGCACATTCCAAATCCTCTCTCTAGCAGTGTTAAACTTAGATATTAAATGCAGCTTAAATTGGTTCATTTCCAAGATCTGACTGTATGTTTTTCCACCAGATCACSTTGTTGAGAAACTATTGGAAAAGCAAAGTGAAGCAAGAATGGCTGAGTGGGAAATACAGCAACATTGCTTCACAACTCAACTTGCCAGAGAAAAGCATGTATCCAATGGATGTCGACACATGGGGAGAAATCTTGGAAGCAGAACTTGAGAGATGAGAAGCCAGTGCTGATTCTTGCAACTCAAAAACCTTTTGCCAATAACACACAMTTGTTTGGCAGTTGTGAAACTGATTTTGAATGATTTTGGACTGATTTTGAATTTATGATGAAAGCCTCTCAAAAAAAAATTATGGGTGTCTTTTTAAATTCACTTTATTAATTTTATGTGCAATTCTAAAGACAACTAAGTTTTCAGTTGTAATTTATATTTATAAATTTTATGTTCTGCTGTACTGTCAAAAATTGCTTATATTTTCAGTTTGCASTGTCAAAAATTGCTTATATTTTCAGTTTGCACTTTATGTTTTGGAAGAGGTGATTTTTATTTTAAAAAAATAAAGGTATGTTTGACTTTTGGACATGAAGTGTATCGTATCAGCCACACACGAGAGCCCACAGAGGAAGTCTGGGGAAGGGATAAATCCAGATGCTGGAAAGAAGAGGACAAGGTGGCCACCTCAGGATCAGCTGAACATTCCCAGTGCCCGTTTTAAGGGATACAATCTTCACAAGGATCTCCTGAACTTGCACTCAGTGAAGTGTTAGTGCTTGGCAGTGCTGAATATTTACTACCCAGTTGTGGAATTTTTGGATTAGGACTCTTAGATCCAGGAGAGGATGGAAGCAGACAGGTAACTAACAGTTTCTAAGCCATTTGCTATGYACATTAGTCATTTGTATGATAAGGAGTGGAGCAAAATTTAACTACTTTAAACAAAATAACTCGGATAATTGTGAGAGGTAACACAACTTCATGTATTTTCATAGGTTAAAACACATTGAGAAACTTAGTTTTTTCCTATGTGCTGATCTTCCATCTTACAGGCTGTGCTTTACCAGCACTGATTTTTGGCACCARCTTTAAAAACTGCTGCTAGTACAACAGGAGCTGCATGTCATTACTCAACAGAAAAGTGACCATAGAATCAATTTACTGCTATTCTGGTATCACCTTTACCTACCTCCTTTGCACTAAAGAGTAAAATAAATGAGAAAATGCTGGGAAGATTACCCGTTGCTTGAGGCGTTTGTACAAAATTCAGTCACCAATCTGGCACCAATTTTCTATAGGAAAACTTCAGCCATGCTTACGAAACTCAGATTTGAAATCCCTTCACACAACTACTGCAAACTTTGGCAAAGAACATTTTGACAAAGGGGTAGAAGTATCCTGTCATGAGCATGAGGTTGAATGGCACTAGATCAGGGTCCTATTCAATGCAGTTTACTCCAAATAGCTCCAACCCTTACCATTATCAGAGCCCACTAACAGTAGATCAAATGTAAAAGCAGTTTTGCTCTGAAAATACAGACTCTGGTGATCTGGTCTTAGATCCAGTAGCACTTCTTTTTATAGTTTTACTGGCATTTAAACAAACCATTACTCTAAACTTGCTTTCGATTTACACTTCTTTTTTTTTGCACTTATTTAACCATTGCAGAATATCTGGTGAAACTAGTATTTTTCACTCCCCTTTATTTTGGATATCTGGGCTCACAGGATTTTTCTTGTAGGTGCCCATATCTACAGGCCAAGGAAAAAACAGATCAGCCAGGTGAAATGGGCAACTCTAAAGTGCATCCAAGAACAGAATGTTATCTGATCCTTCTCTGGTTTAGAGCATTCAACAGATTCCCTCAAAACTGGCCACTTTCCTCAGCTCATGTTCCGCATTTGAACAGATTTTCAGTCCATAAGCACTGGTACCTTTTCTAAATCATGAGTGGCATAATTTAGACAGCTTTCTCATCACAACATTGATGCAACATGACACAATGGCTGAATAGTGTTTCTCACACATCTTGTAATTTATTCCTTGTAGGCAAATGTTATTTATAGGATCACGACCCCATTCCACTAGCTTTTAAAAATCTCCCTTTGACAGAGACACTGTTCTTGTGGGACAACTACTGCGTTATCCAAAATAGATGTAGTACCCAAAATTCACTGAAGCTTCTGCTGTCACCCTGCTGCCACACACGACTGAAATGTAACTCAGAGTAAAGAGCATTGCTAAGCATAGAGGATGTAGCACAAAGGTCAATGAATTGCAAACACTTCTTCTGCTATTAGTAGCTATTCTGCTGTAAGATTACATTTAGTTAGCTCAAATTAAAAAAAAAAAAAGTCCAAAACACACACCCAAGCACACTGAAGGTGCTATTTCACACCTCGCTCATAGCATGTTTCACTCTGATTTTAAGAGACTTAGAAGTAGGAAAAGTGCATCTAAATTAATCAAGAAAACAATACTACCAGTACATTCTCATCACCCTCAAACCTGCCAAATTTTTTAAATCATATGATGGGGAAGCTGTACAATAGTAGATCTAGTCCCTAACTTTTCTCATCTAGCCACCTGTGTTACCTCCAGTTTGTAACTCCCTGACATTTATCCCCTATTCCTGATGCTTTCCTGCCCCTTAGCTGTAAGTTCTCATGTGCTTGTCTCACGATAGTTTGTAAATAGGATAATTATTCTGGTGTGAATCCTAACACAGTTACTTCACTGTTAACTTGGTAGCTTTTCCCCATTCTCAAATGAGCATTAAGAATCCCCAATATCCCTTATGCCTCTGTTCACATCAGGTGCCTCTTTAAGCACAAGGAATTAAACACACAGCTATGCAATTACACAAGGCCTGGATCTCTGAGCCTGGAATAATAATGGTGTCAGTTTCTCTTGAAAAATCTGTTACTGAAGGGAAGAAAAAGTATTTAAGTACAAATTCTCATTCTCCCCCACCTATGACTCCTTCCTTGAAGGGTTTTAATTCCCCCTGGAGATTTCATTGCATCAATTCTGGTCATCTGTTCTCTCTGCCCCAGTACTATCTACTCAGCCTCCTATCTCTGCTGCAGGATGAATGTGTCCTCTTCCCTTTAAAGATACCCCAGCAGCATCCATTATTCCAAACATCCATTACTCCAACCATCCATTAATCCAACTCCTTGCACCAGCTGGTTTGGGCTCATCTCTTGCCCCTTCTACCTGCCARCAAAAGCCACTGAAATGCCAGCAATAGGAGGATTGTGCCAGTGCCTAAATTAGCACTTGTGTGGTTGTTTTTCCTCAGAGAGCATCCTCAGCAGCTAAGACCACACATGTAAAGCCCATTCCACCCCAGAGCACACATTAGCTGCCCTCACACCCTAGTGGCTGATTAAACCCTTTTTCCGCTCTGATGCTTACCTCCTACCTATAAGTTTTTGAGGAAGTGGAAAGTTCTGTTTTTGCAAATGCCACTGACCTTCCCATTGCATTCCCAGGCCACTTTTACCCCCGTACTAGAAGATGTCAGCTGCAGGAAGGTACCCAAGGCATCCATCACCCAGGCTTTCCTTTAGGCACCTTCACCTTCCTGCCCAAGCAGCTTTCCTAGCACACAGAGGCCTTTGGAGAAAGCACATGAAGCWTGTGTGTGCAGAGCTGTTTGCAAATGTCTTCTGCCCACACACTTCAGCTGTGCAGCAGAGCCTTTAAACAAGCCTTTAAACAGGCTTCTGTGAGGAATAAAAGGCTTCCCTGCTGCTCAAAATCCTATGAGCTGCTGCACAGCTGAGGAYCAAAAAGACCAGCACTGAAGCTCAACCAGAGCTCAGCATTTCATTTCTGCATCTCAAAAACCATCTTTTGTGTTTTCAACAACTCCTGTTGGTGTTAGAACCTTCCTGGCAACTACTCACTGTTGCAGTGCTCCATTTTTTAAGTGAGGAGCTGACAGTGTGGCTTTATTTCATCATGATGCAGGATGTGGCTTTGGGTCATTTCCATTAACAGGCTAAACGAAAAATCAAGCACAAGATATTTAATCTCCACAGACTTTTATTGAATTTCAAAGCTAATTTTGTCAAGTTTTTCTGCCAATAAACAGAAACATGCAGATGAACATGTCTTTATATCTCTGGAAGGTAYCAAATTACAGAATTATCCCAACTGAAGACAGAACAGTTGAGCTCAGGACTGGGATCAGCAGCTTCAGCCCACCAGGGCTGACAGGAAGACAATAAAAACATACAGCTGGGAGGACTTAGGTATTGATGGTGTTATTTTTTTATCTTCTCTCCAAATGAACTTGGGATAAGGTATATATTGGAATCACAGGAACATGTTGACAAYTGGCAGTTGTTTTTCACCACATTGCTTGTTCAGAAAATTCCATCTCCCAAACCACAGAAGAAATCACCAAMTGCATTTAATACCTCCAGTCAGCAGCTTCTGCTGAGCACAACACTAAGARCTGAGTGTTGGGGCAGTGTCAGTGCTGAGGGTTAGACCCACTTCTGCTATTCTGGTAAACCAAAATACCCAATCTACAACTGTGGGTTGAAAAGGAAGGAGAGAGGTGGTGGACTGCAAACTCAGAGATCCTGGAGGACCTACCAAGATAAAACCCAAGAGGATAATTCTGCATACTGACACAGCTCGCTGCAGCCTCCCCCAGGGTCCTCAGAATCACCCTGTCCAGCACTGCCACCCATTAACTGTGGATTTATTCCCAGAGGGGAATAAAACCCAGCCTGCTAGAGCATGCTTGTCAGGTACAACATCAGCAGGTTTTTACTCACGTTTTAAGATGCTTTTAGAACCAYACATGTTGGTTTTAAGGCATGGTTCTTAAAAACATTAAGAGGAATCTGAAGATGCATTCTCTGGATGCCGTAGGACACYAGTGACCATGACATAATGTATCAGTCACAGCACCAAATATTGCTTTTGAACATCTTTGTGGTCTCAGAGCACCAAAACCAAAAGACCAGAAGATGCTGCCAGCTGCCTGTTGGAGAATTCATCTTGAAGACTTGAACTGAAGGTATAGGTTGAGCAAGCTGGGAAAAGAGAGAAAACTTCAAGYAAGCAATCCAAACACCTTAAGCCTCTAAACCTTATATGGAAAAAGGCAAAGTTGAGAAAGATGTAGAAAGATGTAGTTTTTTCTTGCAGCATTATCTAACAACTGATAATTTAAATAGTACAATACTCCATAAGAATTTTGCTCATCTGTTCCACCGAGGGGATATTTTCAATAGCTTCCWCTACTTTTCCATTATGTTGCTGCTGAGATACCAGACACTTTGAGCTATACACAAAGGCTTCTCCAGATGCCACAGGACACCAGTGGCCATGAAATAATTCATCAGTCATAGCACCAAATACTGCTTTTGATCAGAGATCCTGGGGGATCTACCAAGATGAAACCCAAGTGGATAATTCTATGTACTAGCATAGTTCATATGGCAAYACATATTGCACTGAAAAAATACAGCAGGGAGATCCTAACACCTAAGCTTCACCAGGTACATTATATAGCCATTTAACAGCATAGCAAATGCACCTTTACTTTTGAACATCACTGGTCTGTAGACAGTTTTTTTTTTCACTAAGTTATATTGCTCTTTAAAGTAATTTCAACAAGATAACAACACTGGGGACTGTTCAAACAGGGAGACATTATAGCAGCACCCAATACCCACARAGCAACTACATATCTGTGCACAGCTTATAAATATGAGGAGGTGAGAGGAAGTTTTTACTGTTCTAAGGGGGTGACTAAACACCACATGGTGTGTTGTAGCAATTTTAAAATGCCACTAGGCATTTATGTTTTCTTATCCAAGATTCACTCTGTGATGCCTAAAAGCAGCAATACAAACTCTCTTTTAGGATGTTTAGGCCAAAATAGTTGTAAGAAGAAGGATATAGTGTTGGGCAGAAGAGAAGAAAGGGAAAATTGAAGATGTAACTTGRGAAAGTTACATTTAAGTAAAAGTATTAATTAAAAGAAACCGTAACCAACAAACTATTTTACCACTTATATACCAGAATCATGAAATACTTCCTTTTAGCAAAAATCTGCATRACAGTATTAAAAGCCTGATATAAATAACTTCCTATTATTCAAAAATATCTCACACATGCATTAATTTTGTTACTGTACTTTTCCATCAGACACTTGGGAAACACAGCAACTTAAGCTTTCAARAGCAGGACATCTACATACACATACAGCAGAAGCAACAAAGGACCAAAGAGACAGATTCTTGATTTTCTTTTGATATACATTGGTGATTAAGAAAAGATTTTCAGGCTTTTCCTTATCATGTGGAAGCAGGTACATGAAAAGACTGATCACACATTGATTTATATAATTGATACTCTATTAGTCTGCAATAGGCTATTCTAGTATATTTGATAAAGAGAGAGGGGCTAATGGTAACACTAAGGAGAGTTGTCAATGTCTTTTTTATAACTGAGTTTGAGGATATAGGAAGACCGGGTTGTCTAGTTGTTTGGGATTTTTTAATTAAATTAGTCAATCTCCAGGTTCCTTTCCTCTCCCCCCAGGTCCCTTCCCTCACCCCAGTTTATTAATATTCAAAATTTTGGTGAAAGACATACCGAAGGCAAGTTTTAGAAAATACTAACATTGTCAGTCTCCCTTTCAAGTGGTGGAAKCAAAATTCCATCAGTTTTATCAGCATTTCCCTTTGATTATTTTCCTCCCTCCTGCTCAGTCATCTTATAATGAGTTGAAGAAAAGGAGAGAAAGATACTGCCATCTTAAAAGAAAGGTAGAGTCTATACAGGAAAATAAAGAATTTTACTGTAGCCCATTACTCTTAACAATGGACATCAAATGAAGTATGGAAAGCAGCATTTTACTCAGCTTTCTTACAGTCTGCTGTCCCTTTCACCACACTGGAAGGAAGAAAAARTTAAGCAATCTACCAAAAATTAAGAACCAGAAAAGTGTGGAAAGCCACAGTTTTGATTCTAAATGCAAACCAGGAAGTCCTATTTTCTAACCAAAAGGAAAAAACCCAACCTTGTTTTGAAGCTAAATAAGAAGTTCTGTTTCAAGAAGGCTGAGGAGTRAACAAAAGAAGAACCTTGTTTTGTGTCAGAGTTCACCCTGAGCATAGAAAAATCTCTGTACATCCATAAGAAAACCACAGTCCACGAGCAAAAAATATGTGCACTTTCCAAAACACAAACTGAAGGAACCCACAGAAATACCAGCAACCTGCAAAGAACTCTTCTCTACTTATTTTACTTTTTAAAGTTCCTCCTGTAGTCTCCTACAGCTTTAAAAGCTACAAACTGAAAAAGAACAAACAAAAAACCAACCCATTCCCACCCCACTGCCCTCCCCCAAATAATCCCAYCCTACTCAAATGTTTCTGGCCTCTGCCAAAAAAGATTATTTAAGGATTTTTTTTCTGGATTTCAGTGTTGCCCAAGCTTGAAATCAGAAAAAGAGCCACATTACAAACAGTGAAAAGCACTTACCAAGAGCCCTGTGAAGCAAATAGTTTAGACAAAAAATAACTTCYCAAATATTTGAGAACAAATTAGGGGGGAAAAAGATGATGTTTAACATTTGTAGTAAAGTGAGCTCTAAGCCAAAAATTCAATTGAAGAGTTATATGCAATATTGTGATAAGAAATTAAAATAAAAACTTGTCTAGAAGAGAGGCTTGACAGTAAACAATTGATACCTCAGAAGCCTTAATTAGTTATTTTGTCTTTATGAACAAACCTTGATTAAATATTTCTAAATMAACTGTTCTATTACTAAACCACATTTTCAGTAGACCTTTCACACTTTCTGTTACCTGTTCTTTCAAATAAAAAGCAAAGATGGCACACTGCAAAGAAATGCACCAAAATAACTACACTTAGCAACAAAGTAATATTAACCTTACTTTTTCCCATCTGTGTGTGTGGTTTGCTTTGTCCAGTTTTTTTTTTTTTAAACTTCATTTTAAAATGGAAGTAGGAGCATTGTGTCTATGTGGATGTTTTCATGGGTGCATAGTTATTCAACATTTCCTAAAATCTGACCCTGACTGTAGTAACCACGTAATTAGTATTCCAGGGASGCAAAACTGCTCAGTGCAAGATGTGGCAAGCAAACAAGAATTTAAGAAGATATTTGTATTAGATTATATTGWACAAGTCTTTCAATAAATACAGCCCTTATCCACAATTGTTTATTTTGCTGTTCTTTACACTAGTTCTTCTTTATAAGTAAAAAAGAAACTGGTCTTGATGTGGTAATTGCTGAGGGYGTAGTAGAAGTGTGATTTAAATAGAGGGTAAAAGTTAGAGGAAGCATGACACACACGTATGTCTGCTCTTCTATTTTCTCCCTTTTGTTTAGTAGCTCTTTGCACAAGGCTGGCTCTTGTCTTTCTTGTGCCAGTATTTAGGAAGTGCCAGTATTTAGGATCTGTGCCTCTTCCCTTCCCTGCTTTCTGAGTAACTAGAAAGGCCTCGCCATCTCTGACTGACATGCAGTTGCTTTTTAAAACTGAATTCCCTTGGACAAGATCCTGTCATTTCTGCCAAGTAGCAGAGGCACCCACAAACCCTTGAAATGTGTCTTCAAGCACTACCTATCATATTACAGACCCCATCAATATAGGCTGGTACAAAGGTAAGAGCTCTCCACACTGACTAGCATCCTCTCCCTGACAAAACACCATTCATAGGTGGGCAGTCATTCCCTTGACTGGGCACAAGTTAAAATGATAAGATCACAGACTGGTAAAACATTTTAGTTTTATTAAAAAGTGACAGTCATGTCCCCCCTTTGGTAAGCTGGACAAGTTTCTGTTGTTTGGCTGTGCAGGGTGGTTTTTTTAATTTTCCTGTGCCCTTGGCTATTTTTGGGTTAGTGCACTTTGAAAGCAATAATAAGCAGTGCCAAGCAGCAATTATCAAGAAAGCAGGCTGAGCAAACAGCGGATCTTTTTACCATGACTCTTCCTTCCTCAGAATGACACGTCAGACTTCAGCCATCCCATCAGCTTGCMTGAGAGACAGGAAATGCCTGCCAGAAGCTGATTTCCACTGGCCAAATTAAGTGGACATGATGATGATGATGATGCAGTGTCCCAGCCTGCTGCTCCTGCAGATTGTGGTTTCTTTGGGACAAATAATGCAAGGCAACAGAGCTCCAGGTTCATTAGCTACAAGTATAATTAAGCACAACTGAAAAGACGTTTTAGCTTTGCATTTATTTTTAGATGGAAGAGATGCCAATAAGAATCCTTAAGGATAAGGTATCTTATTAGATCTATGAACAGAGTTTTAAAAGTTTTGAAGTTCACTTGCACTCAAACAGTCTGTACCAGGAACAGTCTACGTGCAGAATCTGACATTAACTTGATTTTCAACTCCTYTTTAGAGTTTAAGACTTAGAAGTTTGTTTAATATACAGTCACACAAAAAATGCACGGATTGATCAGGTGAACTGACCCTATCAAATAATAACGTTTATTTCAGTTACAAGCAGAAGGTTTTTCTTCTTTTACTAAGGCATAGAATCAAGGACTGAGCTGGAGGTTTAAAAAGGAAAACCTAAACAAACCTACTTAACACAGCAACTAAATAGTTCAAGTAACCAACTCATGGATCCTTTCCCTTCTACAATGTTCTTCATTCAGAGTACAGCACCTGACATCCCAGCTTTTATAAAAAAAGCTGAGTACAGTACCTGACATCCCACTGCTTTGTAAATCTAAATAAAGAGAAACAAYGGTCCCAGTGCAGATTCTTGTGGAGAAATTTAGCAAGGGTTAAAATTGGTTGATATGGAGTTTGAAGTGAGATTGCTTTGTGTTTGAAATACTGTGGGAAGACACTCTTCCTCATACTGCTGTCATGGAGTTGTACTTGATTCCACTGCTGTTTCCAKAGTTGTCTGCATTCTTCTCTCCCTTAATGCTGACAGATTATACAGGAGTGGATCACGTTTCCAAGTGGGTTGACTTTTTTCCTGAAATCTATGGCATTATTTGTAAAAGTGAATGAACAGAAACATGATCTGGCAAAGCAGAAAGTGTAAAACTTGTCTGGAGAAGACTGAAAAACATAAAAATCCTGAAACACAACTGAAGAGAGGATGATTCATTGAGTTCCTCTCTGTCAGTGGAACTCAATTAAGAGTGACTGCTGTTAATGGTGAGATTCCCACTATCAGCTGTGGGTACGTGCTTCCTAAGGTGGACTGATTAGTCTAAGCAACACACACTAATATGGCATGTTCTATGTTATAATTTAGTAAAATATTACCATAACACAAGTGGAAAAATGTTAGTATGTTAGTGCCCTCTATAGAATTGAAACTTCCAGTCATCATCCCCTATACACAAGCCACTTGGAGTGATACTGCTTTCTCTTGGTGAAATGCTCAATTCTGTTTTGAGTAACTAATTTAATTTATCTGTCTTCTTGTTGGCAGRTCATCTTCATTTACCAGTCCTAGCAACAGACTGGATTGCTTTGATCCACTCTGTACGCTCTGTGGATGAGGCTGCTTGCAAGTAATAGTGGATTTCATTTGCTGTGATGATTTCAAAGAGGATGTTGTCAACATCATGCTTCTTGGCTACAGGGGAAAAGATAAGAAAGTCATCTATGTGAGAAAAAAATCTTGTACTTCAGTATTTCCTCCTTTGCACACTGAAAGGGGATCTCCTGGCTTTCTACAGCTAAGCCTGACAAAGACTGGGTACAAGAGAAGAGGCTCTCTCCCAAAAAAAAACACTCATGAATTCTGCACATTTCAGCTTCAGGAGTCTCTGCTTAGTTGGTCTCAAATCAAATGGGAGGATCTGCAATCCTGCAGACAGATGATATTCCCCAAACCCTCCCATGCCTTGCCAGCTACAAAAACAAGATGTTTGAATCCATCTCACATCCATTTCTTTTCTGAGATGCCAACAAACTTTCTTACTGGATATGATAGCCAGAGTCTCCCTTGGAGAGAAGAAGGCATGAAATTAGTGTTTCTTGGTCCTTACAGCAACACCATTTCTGTTCCCACAACTTCAAGCTTTGGGAGGGAAGAGCAGGTGGACAGTAATAATTTGTTGGCATAACCATTTCTAATATAAAGCTTCCATCCCAAATTTATTAACTAAAGAGATAAAATGCAGCTTACTTTGTCTAAAGGCCAGTTATCCTAACACGGGGTTTGTGTCATCCTTTTGACCAGCCTTCCCTAAAGTACTGACCAAACACAAGATTCTCTGCTGCTACCTTTACCACAGYACCCTTCCCCAGTAATTCAGACAGCAGGAGAGAGCAGTTACTAGAATTACTGAATCATTGTACATAGATGATTGCTTTGGAATAAAAAACACTTGTGATTTCAGGCAGATTGGAGGGGTTTTTTTACCAAAAAATTATTACAGAGTTTATTCAATATGATTCCTTACTGTCTGGCATATCTTGCACTGCTGTCACCACACAGCCTCTCAAGTGAATTGCTCCGAGTGGTTCTTCTCCCTAGGGAGGACATGAAATCAAAATTAAATGCATTCTGAAACAATTCACAAGTTAATATATGGCTACATTTCCAGAATGGAAACAAAAACATTTGATTACTCAGTATGTCACCTGAGAGACCAGGGGATCTTCAGTCTGTGTGACATGTGGTGTTAGAGGTATGATAGGGGAAAGGCTTAAAATAAATAGGGAATCTCTTGTGATTTAGAATTTAGGATCTGCACAGTATTTAGCATAGGAATGGGCACATTAAAATTAGACAAGAAATAGAAAGCCATGTCTCAGCCTTGGCATGGCAAATACCTCAAATATAAACTGCAAAATAACTCTATTGTGTTCATGTGCACTCAGGACCTAATTTGTTTTGATCAAGTGAGAGTACACATTAATTAATTCTAATTGATCACAGATAAGAGGTACAATTAGATATTACAGTGAAGGAAACCATCCTTCACTCTGCTTTTCCATGCCATGTGAAAWCAGTCCCACTGTCCTGCCTGATCTTCCCTATCACACTCATGCAAATACYYMATTCAGATACTTCTACAAGGCACTRGATTCAAAGCAAACAGGGAAATAAACCAAATCTCTCTTACTCCAGCAGGGTCATAATAGTGAAGGTAGGCGGGATCATCTCTTAAAACAAACTTTCTCACTTTCCAGTTCTTCCTCCGGTGCCCCTAGGAAAGTTCAAAAAGAAGAAATGTCATGGAACTGCTTTGCCTGCATTCCAATCTTACACACACGAGAGGACAGGTAAATACAAAAGGAAAAAACCCTGAATATTGTGAACAGGAAATACTGGAGTAGGAGTTGAACCTGCCTGTTCTACATTCCAATCTTTTGCACAACAACTGGACTATCAAACTGCTTTCTCCTTTTTTTTTCTCTTTTTTTTTTTTCTTTTTTTTCTTTTCTTTTTTGTTTTTCTTTTTTTGGCAAAGCAGAGGAGCAAAGCATGAGAGATTCCCCTAAACAATATCATACAGTCTAATAGTTATGACATTCACATGAGATCTGTGAGAACTAGGTTTCACTGCTTGGCAGAAAACACGGCTGCAAAATGCCTGGCAGGAAGAGACCTTGAACTGTTGGCAAAGATGAGCTGAAAGTCGTTCTGTCCCTGCAATGATAACAAAAAAACCCTGCTTATCTGGCTTAAGCACCCTGCAGGGCTCATGGCTGAGAAGCTCAGGCAGAAATATTACCATGTTCTGCTATGGAGGTAGTGCCTCGTGGCCTTATTTTACAACTGAAAAGGATGTAAAAAGTTTAGGAAAGTTTAGAYTTGCTGAAAGCATTTTCAGCAGAAGAAGTGACCCTTCCAAGCCATGACCCACAACTCACTGACAGTGACCAAATGCAGACTAACACTGGCAGAAAATTGTCATGAATCACTTCCTCTGACATTTCAAAATACAAGTTTCTCAATTAGCTAAAGTTTGCAGGAAAGATCTTACTAACTGGGTTGATATGAATGTGACAGGGTAACAGAGCATCAAGACGTGGGTCTAATTTTTTCATTGCTTCTGAGTAAACTGATTTAGACCACTAAATGAGCACCAATGAAGAGCTCTTAGGCCTTCAAGGACCATTTTAACAGTGTAAGTTCAGACTCAATAATAGAAAACATTTCTTTAGAGAGTGGGTGGTCAAACACTGCAACAGGCTACCTAGAGAAGTGGTCAATGGAAGGAAGGTATCCAGTTATCTTCTGTCTTACAGATCAATCATTAGTGACTGAAATGACTCCTTTGCTTAGCCATGCTGAAAAAGTCTGTGAGAACTGTCAACTGAATCCAGTTGTACATCCAGAGGGACACAGGAGTGGCAGACTTTTTACTTGAGTTCAGTTTTGAGTTGTACCAATGACTCATTATATCTTCTGCATTAGGACTCTTTCCTAATTAAAGCTATCAACTGTTTTATTTTGTGGTAAGAGCAATAAACGTTGCAGTATTTGTGAAAAGTCCTGCTACTATGCAAGTGTTCCTTGTGCAAAGGCAAGAGGGACAGAGAAGTGCAGAGATGACATTGGATAGTTTCTCTGTTATCTAAAGCTTTTAAGTGTAAAAGAGTAATCTTGCACCCATGTATATCATCCTAGTGACAGGATGGAACATGGGCAATACCAACCTGTTTCAGCAAACATCCTTGTTTGACAATTGTGCCTCTGAATTCTTCTTTCAGGACCACATCATCATCACTGGAATATCCCTCACAGAAAAATCCACTGTCTGGCTGCAAGACCACAAGAGAAATATTACAGAAGTTGCATACTTGCTGCATGCTTATGTACATATACCAATCTGGCTTCTTTTGGCTTTCCTCCACCCCAAAGAAAAAAAAAATAAATTGAATTAATCTAACCTTTTACTAGAAAAGTCTCCCAGTAAAACTGAGGAGCTCTGCAAATCACCATGCACAGATTTCAGTGTGAGGTGGGACTATGCTTCTATGACAGTCAGACACACTTGCTGTGGCCTCCTCACATTACACTGGTATTAAATCAAACTAGAAATAATCCAAAAGCAGGCAGGGCACACATGGCTGCTACAAGAAGCACCCCAGGAAGCCACAAGGCTGCCTTTACCAACAGTGTCTCTGCTGCACAGGTAAAGTCTTCCTAGCACAGAACATTTAAGAAAATGAATGAGTAATGGGAGAGTCATTTTGCTGAAGCCAAGTGATTCTATGTGGTAAATATAAACAGATTTGTAATACCAATTTACTTGTTTTCACTTTATAGAAGGCATGCTTTGTATTAGCATAAATCCATAAGCCAAGTATCTTTCAAACAGTGTTTGACTGTGATTGAGGTATTACGAGTTCTTCAAGAATTGTAGAAATCAATCCCCAGAATATGAATTAATAAATGGAAAAGGCTGAGTATGACACCTGGGACAGGTTACTGGGGATTATTAAAAACTTCTATTTCTTTGYTCACAGCCAAGCTGTGTGTGTGCACACTCATGCTGACTCAGATTTGGTGGCTCTGCACAAAAATGTGTTTGTAGCTTCTGCCACTCCATGAAGTCCCATGATAATGAATTCCTTTCTTCTCTTCCACTGAATTATCAGGGAAACAGATGCTAAACTTCTGTCACCAGTGCAGTTACAAGGGACAAAATCCCAGTGAAAAAGAATCCAGCTTAGTCTCAGCACTCAATTCACATTTAGAAGGGTGCCAGAATAAAAACCTGCCCAGGTTACAACTATTAAAGTGAGCCAGCTCATTCTAAGCATCACAGGAAAAAGACAATGAAGATAGATTCCTCCGTTTCTCTACAATCTTTCTTCCAGAATTTAAGAAGCATGAGAAAAGCAGAGCATCAATAAGTCTGAGACAATAAAAAAAAACAGAATACAATGCTCACAAAGTAATAGTAGGCATCACTGAGATCTAGGAAGGGGGTGTCTGACAGTCCCTCAGCAGCAGCCTTGGATGTRTCCCCAGCAGGCTGCAGGTATCCTTCACTCAAGAGGGAAGAGGCAAGCAGGAGACCTTCTCTGCGATTTCGGATGGAGTTGCTGGACACCAGCCAGTCAATGACACAGGTGCCTGGTTACAAAGGAACAAAATGTCATCCACAAACTAAGAGAGACATGAAGAAGCCTAAAAGTACACAGGAAATAAGCCTATTTCATGTATTCATCGATCTCCTGAAAAATGTTCTAAGTGACAGCACGAGAAGCTAATCTGGGAAGGTTYGTGGTCATCCAGCGAGGCACAGCCTTTCCAGCTGATGGCAGGGGCCAGGACAACTCCCAAACACCATTCCTGATGGAGAAGAGAGCTGGGAGGGCACACAAGGCTCAGCTGGGAATCCTCAAAGACAGGGCCTGGGAATGAATGAAGTACAGCCAAGCCTGGAAAAGGCAGCCTTTCAGACTGCYATGCTACTAACATAATGCTGTTGGAAACAGGATGACGTTCATGGAACCCAGCACTACCCTGTCCACCACTAAACAATGTCCTCAAGTGCAACATTTATGCATTTTTGAGCACAAACACAGATTTTACTTGGAGAGAAACAGGAATTAAAATGTGACACAGTTCGGTGATGAAAAATTCAGGATAGAATATCCTTCTGTACTTAAGTGTTTCACAGAACAATCAACTCAAATCTTTAATCTTTCTTCAATCTTAAATTTCATCCTTCTTGTTTTACCAACGCCATAACTGAACACTTTTTCAAGATCAGTCCTTTGAGCTTCTTCTGGGTTGGTCAAGAAAGCATCTGGTTTTCTTTTCAAACTTCTCTGTGGTTTACAGAGCTTAGAGCTCTTTGGTTTATCTTTAGTTTCTCAACTCTGTGCTCCTTTCTTGCATGGAATAGATGGACAAGAGCTCCTTACCYGTAAAGCAGTGATTGAACACTCTTTTATCTTTTTCCAGCTTCAGCTCCTTTATTCCCGTTTCAGGATCTTTCATTGAGACGTACAGAGCACTGTGCATAGAAAGAACCACAGAAACTGTTAGCAAATTAAAAAAAAAAAGTTTTGCCAGTTTGTAGAATAAWGTCATTGTCATTCATGGGGGCTTGGTGTTTTGCTGGCACATGGCTCCCTGCAGAGTTGGGAGTTAGTTTTGTCTCCTGCATCTCCTGAAAAATTCAAGTTGCCAAGCCTGCAGTTCTCACTGTATCACCATCACATCTGTGGGAGCAGAGGGTGGAGTGCACCAAGGGCTCACCACATCTCCCTATTTTGAGAACACCACAATTTGTGGTGACTACAGCGTGAAGAGAGGAACGCCCACTGCTGAGGCCCCACAGCCCCAAGGGGAGGCTTCACTGCTGTTCTCTGAATTCACCCAAAGGTGATTTTCTGAGCAGAAAATCTGTCCCTGTCCCAAAGCCTGCATGCTCTCAGATCCTGTGCAGTTTTACTGTCTTATAAGGAACACTGCAGGCTCATTTGTACCTTGGTTTTTACAGCTCAGAGGTAGAAAATAAGTCCTCCTTGATTTTTTTAAAGTACTGATAGATTGCTTCCCTTTATCTYTTTGTCTTCCTCTGCCAGTTTCATGTTTCCTGGCAGGCTCTAAACTTCCCTCACCATCCAAAAACTAGGCTAACATCAGCATTTCTTTGGAGRGCAAACAAAACATCTAATATATTTTTGCAATAAATGATTGATTGCATAAAATGCTCCTCCTGAAAGAATCACACTTTGGCTGGGGTATCCTCTTGCACTGCATTATGCCCAGAAATCTCCTTATCAGCAAAAACCTTTGATAAATAAGTGTTTTGGTAAATGATAATGCATTAAAAAAAAGCTTCCAGTTCTGACTGCTTGCTCATTTCTGACACATTGTACACACTGAAATTTTGAGTTGTGCAGAAAGGGCTGTGAGAGACAGGCTCATTGCTCTTCCTGACCAAGATTACACATCTGACACGCTGACTGCAGATGGAAATAAGTGAGGGRGCCAAGCTATAGGAACAAACCTCAGGTTGATTGTTTCAGGCAATCTGATAGACTTCCTTGTGGATTTTCTGGCAAACCTTTGGCCTCCATCTATGTGATGAATTGCTTTCTTGATATCCCTCACCCAGGCATCTCTCTCCTCCAGGAAGGCAGCTTGAAAAAAGTGGTCCTGCTGCTTGGCCACAGTGAGCTTGAAGACAAACTGAAATGATAAATTATGGGATTTTTATTTTTAGAGTTATTTTGGTGTAGCCAGTTGGGCACAATGAAGCCAGTACCACCTCAACATTCAGCCTACCTGTGCATAAATACTATAGAAAGTGCCTTAGAGACACAGTTAAATTATAAAACTCTGAAGGAAACCATGAACAAGCACTGCAGCAGCTTTTGTTTGGTTTGTGGCACCAATGCAGCTGCTGATTCTTAAGTTTTGCTGGGAAGTTTAGCAAAGATGAAAGGCTGGAGCACCCAGCTCCCCCAGGCTTATCACTGATGTAAATTTGTTGTAATGTTTAGAGACACATGAACAATCTGAAGGAGGAAAAATGCCCCACATCATGTTCAGCTGCTGACTCACAAGGGAAGGCAAGGTCACACCCTGGAGAATACTTGAGCACATTTCCAGCCTAGTAAACCTTTAATAGTTTAGTAGGAAGATACATCCAAGCCCTGGCTATATTTTAGAATCACCTATCCAAACACAKTAGCCACAATGGAAAGAATTCCCAAAAATGAGAATAGATAATTTAAAGGTAGTTTTAAACAGAAAAAAAACCCCGCCAACCTGAAAAAAAACCAAACAAACAAACAAACAAAAAAAACCCCAAAAAACCCACCAAATCCCCCAAACCACCCGACAAAATTTACACTGTTTGAACTCATTTCCATCCAGTAATCTTCTGGATGGAAGATCTGGATCTAATTACTCAGGTTTCCACTTCCTCTAAAATATAGTTCCCCATGAGTGAAACTAATTTGTTCTGTAGTTGTGTTATAATAAATAYCACAGGTTCTGACTCAGCAGGTGTCTAAAAATGCCAAGCTAAGCTACAAAACAACAGCAYGACTTGATGAGGGCAAGGAAAGCAAAGGCTACTGTCAAAGAGCAGCAAATCTACATCAGTGAAATAAATTCATTGAATGAATCTACTGAAGCCCATTTGTGTAAATGATACATTTCTTAATATCCCTGAGAAGCATCTTCCAAACTATGGCCAACAGGTAAAATTCTGACACTCTGGAATTGTGCAGTAGAGCAACTGAATTACATGGAAGATAGATTTCAAATTTWAAAAGCAATGAGTCCTCAAAAATCAATCATCTCAGACAGAAAAGCAACCCGTTCTTTTCTGATACTGTTCATATTTCCAGCAACACTCCCCTTTTCTGCTATATAGGAAAGACCTAGATACTGAAAATCAATGTAYAATGCATGAGAAAAGCAAAGGGACAGATTTCTCCAAATCCCAATATCCAAGAGTCAAGCTAACACACCAGATTAACGGAATGAAATACTAAAGCACTGATGAGATTTCTTACCAAAGGACAAGATTAGCCTTCTCAAAGAGCTGATTCAAAAATTTAACCAGAGAAATACAGAATTGTGTCTGTGGCCCAATAGTCCCTGCTCCAAACTGGGCCCAGGCAAGTGAAGCTATCCTTGAAATGGAACCAGTGAGAATTATCCCACTTTTCACCATACTCCTGTCCTAAAAATATACTTTCAAAAAGAAATAAGAAGAAGAAAAGRAGGAAAAAGCAAAGCAGGCAGGTCCAAAACTGACACAAGGGACCCTCATTCCACTTACCACAAAACCTGAAGACAGGTTTAATTATCCTCACTTTACTCATGTGAGAAAGTAATGTTTGTTCTCTCAGCAGTCTCTCATCTCACACTTGCTGTTTTTCTAATGCTCTCACAGAGACTTCTATCTTTAACCAGGCATCCCTGTGGTAAATTTTCTTAACCTGTAATTGGATAATATACCAGATTCTGGGGGCCCCTTTGTCAGAGGAATTTCTGGGGATGTAATGCCTRTTTGATGAAACTGAGTTGACAAAATTACAAATGACTGAATAATYGTATGATTCTTTGCTCATATTAGAAATCCTGTTTTACCAACTACTATTTTTCAGGAATCCTATAACAAAATATRTGTGTCACAGCATTTATCTCCTTCCTGTCTGAGCAAGCTGTTGTTCCTTGATGTCATGGTTTGACACTGGCTGAATGCCAGGCACCCACAAAAGCTGCTCATGTGCTCTCCCCTGCCACAGCTGGGCAGAGGAGAGGAAAATTTAACAAAGGGGTCATGGGTTGAGATAAGGACTGGGAGGAAACACTCTAAGGGTAAAACAGGCTCAACTTAGAGGTACAAAGTAAATTTGTTACTAACAAAGTCAGAGGAGGATAATGAGAAATAAAATAAGCCCTTAAAACCACCTTTTTTGCCCCCAACCCCTCCCTCCTTCCCACAGACTGTGCAGGGAGACAGGGGATTAGGGGTTTTGGTCAGCAACCAAACCAACACACTTGACAATAAATAAATGCCTCCTCTGCTCACAAAGTATTTTCTCACAGCTTTATTCTGTGGCAATTAGATATATATTTAATAGAGGAGTTGGTGCCTCTGCTGCAAAATGTCTTCACACCAGTAAAATGAAATTCTGCTCTCTGAGAGACTAAGAAATTTAATAAAACCCAAACAAACAAACAAACGAATTCCCCCCATGCTTTTTGAATAAGTCCACTTGAAGTGTTCTGAATTCAAATAGTACACAATTTCAAATGTGCTTGTGACCTCCTAAGGCAAGTGAGAATGGCCACTAGGATGAGTGCAAGGAATTTGTAATCACCTCCTTTTGCCCTTTCAGTGCTCCCAGAAGTATCAGTACACTGTCAATTGCTTTTATTAAAAAAGAACTTACCATTCTTTTGCCAAAATCTTGGCATGGGCTRTGAATAGAGCTTCCTTTTAGTGGGATCATCCCTTTGGGACTGTTATCAGCCTTCCGCTTGTAGAATTCAATTCCATCYTCTAAGAGCACGACCCACATTGGCTTCCAGGTATTAAACATGCTGCCCTGCACGAATAAATCATATATTATGTTTAGCAAATCACTCTTCACGTGACATCCAAGGAAGATATGACCTCCCAAGGAATGTCTGAMTGATGATAAAATAACTACAGTTTGTGTCTCAAGGGGAACATACCACAACCACACCCATCTTACCATGCAGWGAAATGTTGTCATTACTTCTCTGACCATTTATTTCCCCTTGTAGTTACCCCACAGATGGGTTTTTCCAAAATTGCATTGCCTGCCACARTATGTGTTTCTCATCAGTATTGATTCAACCCAAAATCTCTCTTCAAGA